GGCATCTATTGAAACAGGTTTGTTTATATACCTCCTGAATTGAACTCCACGGATGAGTGTAAATAGAAGCATAATCTAAGACCATATACACTCAATATTTGTTTCAAATTATATTATTCTATTTTGGTTAAATTATATATAATATAATTTTATATGTGCCTACATTATGCATTTACTAATTTATCATAAACAAACAGATATGAGTAAGTTTTTCTCTCTCTCTCTCTTTATACTAGTGTACCGCTTCCCTTTTCGTTTGCCACTTGATATGTGTGTTATTTTTAACTTTTTATTGGCATGTGCTTCGTTTAGCTTTAATCATGGGATATCATTACAGAAACGGATGGAATTGTGACTCATGTGATATTGTGATGCTACTACTTCCCCAAAATTGTTCATAAAAGTGTTCCAATTTCTCTTTTTTTTTCCCCTTTTCTAATGCTATTTTCTCTCTTTACTTCTTCTTCCATGCTTTCTTTGGGGGTCAATTATACTCCCCTGTCATCCATTTCATTCCTCGTTAGTTTTTACGAAAGCACTTCACTTAAAAAAAAAAAAAAATTTACAAAAAAAGGGAAAAAAGAAAGAAAGAAATATCTTTCTTCAGTTCTAGGCTTCAGCGGACTCCGTCAATGGGCTTCAGACCCATTATTATGCGAACCAACAGTTTGGACTTGGATGGCACAAAATTTGGATAAAATTCATAAATCGTCATTTTTCTGCTGCTGTTATGAAAAATAGCCACTATCACGGAGTTTTAAACTGCTGAAATCGTGGTATTATTCTGAAAAGTGGCTAGTACGTGCTAAAAAAAAGGCAGTCCGGTATACAAAGCTCCTGCTATGCGCGAGATTTGAGAAAGGGCCAGACCACAAGGGTCTATTGTACGCAGTCTTACCCTTCATTTCTATAAGAGGCTATTTTCACATCTCGATTCGTGACCTCCTGGTTACATGACAACAACTTTACTAGTTACACCAAAGCTTTTCCTATTACAAAAATTTTATGCACATTATGTTTATTTAAGTTATCAGTATATGTAGCAGTAAATTATATTATTTAATCAGCTTTTATTTATTATCTTTATATGGATAAAAAACGTACGCACATCGAAATCTTAGTGCATGGAACTATAATTTTCTTAAACTTTATCCATACAAATTCGTTTGTAGTTTTGACTTTTGAATAACTTTTTTTTTGCAAAATTTCCCATATTTAAAGAAAAAAGGCCGTTGTCTCACGGACGATCTTAGTGGGCGTTTGGACATAAGAATTGTAAAATTTTAAAATAGTGAAAAATTTTTTTTAAGTAAAAATGGTATTTGAAATTTAAAGTTGTGTTTGGATATGAATATAATTTTGGGTTGTTTTTGAAGTTTTGTGAGTGATTTGAGTGAAACTTTTGAAAAATAATTTTTTGGAGTTTTTTAAATTTTTAAAAAAATTTAAAATGTATCTTTAAGTGAAAATTGGAAATTGTACGAATAAATGTTGATTCCGAAGAAAAGTGATTTTATTTTTGAAAAAAAGGAAAAAATTTATTATGTCCAAACGGGCTCTTAATGGGCTTCAAAATTATCTTAATTGATTAGCTCCAGCTAGTGGGTAGCCTCCTGGCCCATCAGGCAATCCGATTTGATGAACCCTAAACCCTTCCTTTGCAATTAGAACTGCAGAAGAAAAGCTATGGCGAAGAACAGAAACAAGAATAAGAAAAATGGTCGTGCGGCTATGGATGTCTCCTCTGACAAGACGGTCACGGGTCCCCAGGGTAATTAGCTACTGTTATTTTTCACCTTCTTCGTTATCATTCTCTTACAAAAATTTCCTTAATTACTGTTGATTCATTATATGTCTATTGCTTAATTGCAGAAATGGATACTTCAGAGTCAGCAGCTCCAAAACCACACATAGGTGGAGCACATAGGTCAGTTGTTTAATGTTTAGTTTGTGTTATAAATACTCAATGATTAGCAATCAAACTTGACGCTGTTTAGCAAATTGAGTTATGGTGTGCTTTGCACATACTCCAGTAATTACACTCATGTATAATAAAGTTCATAAAATTTTGAACTATTCTTTAGACAGTTTGAGGAAAATTTACTTTTTTTTAGCTAAGTTTGGCTGCTTTATATTCCTTACCTAGGAATTCTATCCCTCTTGTGATGTAACTCATCAGTTATCTGTAAACAGAAGAATGGATAAACATTAACTTTCAAATGGAAATAAAGCCTTGTGAGCTAATTCCTATCTGATGAACATGCGCGTAGAAGCATGTTGTAATATGTTGAAACATATTTCAATAGTATGTTTGTTCACTTGCAAATTTTTGGGAACAGGGTTTGTTAGCAGGCAATATGTGCTATTCATTGTCTCATTATGCTGTATGATCATAAGAATAGACTCCGCAATACCTAGTATATTGTCTAAGCAGTATCCCTTGTTATCATATAAATATATGAAAGAATAAGATATACTATTATCATAAGAAGTGGCTTGACGTACTTCATAGGAATTACTAATAAGTAATATGATAAGATCGTATTATGCAAATTAGTCTACTTTGAATACATATTGTTTTTGACTTCTCCCATCACTATGCATATGCATGTACCATCCTTTTTGGAGAGCAGCATATGCAGTCAGATGTCATTGCCACTCCTTGTAGTTTCTAGGATGCTTCTTTTTCTTCCTGTACCAAATGTCAATTCCCACTCATTCCTTGATAGTCATCCATTGGGATTGTCATTGCTCTTGGATTGCTCTATTGACTTGCTATGAGACAAGATATCTTAATTCGTGAGCATGGGAAAAGATAAAAAGGAAAGGATCTTCGACTCTAATGGGGTACATACACATTAGTTTTCTTTCCTCATTTTGCGCTCTTTCGGCAATGATCCTTGATTCAACTGGAAGTGATAATTTACATTGCTTTGGTAGCATAGGAAGGGCTCGCTTTTGGTAGGAAGATAAGCTGCAGATATCAGAAATGGCAATCTTTGTCATCAGGATCTGAATGGTGATCTCTCTGAGAAACATTCTTTGTGGTGTTATTTTTCTCTTCTTTTTGTTGTTGTAAAGTGGTATTCGAGTTTTGCTGATCGGATTTGCTGTTACGGCTACCAGCGGTTTAGTGGTACCATGTTGAAGCTGTATATATGCGCGAATAGTATGGGTTGATTTTGTTGTAAGGCGGTGAATAAAGGCTAATTGACCCAATTTACTGAGTACTGCAACCGGAGGTGGATAGTTTATAGATGTGCTGGTCAGGTGGTGATTGTTCTTTAGTTTCTATTTATGCATACAACTGCATTAGGCCTGTGTGTGTAGTTAACGTGGTAAATGTATAAGGCATCTAATCTGAGATGCTTCTGCACAAAGAGAATGGGGAGGAGGGAGGAAGACTGACCTTCAAAAATGTTCAAGTATCTGTTGAACTGCCATGTTGTAGTTGGACACCATTCATTTGTGTTTACCCATACACCATACTACTTGCTATTACATCAACAGCTGATTCATACTGATTTGCTCCATGTATTAGAAGCTGACAGCTCCTACTTCCTCCCGTTGGTATCCATGCGGGTCTAGCTCTAATGTCTGAAGTGACCCCTAACTGTCCATTGCCTCAAACCAGGTAGGTAGGTTGATGACAAAACATAGTTACTTACGGATGTATGCATGCGGTCCGGGAACACTTTGGGGTGAACACCCATCCACACAAGTAGGGTCAATAGTTCAGCATTTAGGCTGTAACATTTAGCAACAAATAAATATTTAACCCAACAATTGCTCTCCGAATCAAGCTAGATAGTCTCCTATCACTAGGCTCACCAACCAAGCTGGACTTTTTTTTTATTATTCCTATCGGATATCAAAACAAATCATAAGGATTGTTTCCAGCCATGAGTTCTCCTATGACATAAGCGCTCTTGGGTGGGGTGGGGCATTCCATCAAATCTTTGAGAAGGGCCCCAATCTCGTATTTGATGGTCGGCATGGCGATAGGCTTCGTTTCTACGATTGCCTTCCCGGTCGTTGAATATTTAGGGGTTGCAAGAAGAGCGCAATGAGTTGATGGAGAGTTAAGTAGTCCATGAGGTTAGCACCTTGGTTTGTCAAAAATATGAAGTGTAAGCTAATAAGGAGTGACAATTAAAGCTCCTTGCATATGTATCTAGTTTGCAGGCATGTTTANAAAAAAAAATCCTCCATCTTAGAATTCCTCACCTTGTTTTTCCGCTCACGCCATATACTTTTTATTTCAGAAAGATGAAGGGAGTACAGATGAAAAGGTCAAAAAATGTCCGGAAAATGAAGGCCATTGCCAAGGCTATTTCACAAAATGAGAAATTGGAGGAAAAAGTCACAAGGAGCGAAAGCAAGATAGAGAGAACACAAGATGCCAAAAAGTTGTATGAATGAATGGATGATTCTTTAGTCTGATTAGTTATGGAAAGAGTGATGATTTTGTTTATTAATGTTCACTCCAAGGGCTTGTCAATGTAAAAGTTATATCTTCTTCATTATAATTGTCTGGTGTTCTTTCGCCAAAGGTTGTCAATGTTTTTGCATTTTCGAGATAAACAACGATAGCGTGCAAATACTACTAAAATTGAATGAAATTCCATATCATTGGAAACTAACATGTGTTGCAGCATGTGCTTGATCCAATAAAATATTAACTTGTTAAGGCAAATATTTTATAATTGAGGGATGAATTGTAAATCGTTAGGAAAAGTTCCAATACTAGGGTAACTCTAAACAATAATTCAAAGTGTAAGGGTAAATTTGGATGCCTTATATCGAAAAATTTGGATACATGATAATACATGAAGTCCACCAATTACTTGTTGGAGCAAAATTGAGCGGTTTCAAACAATACGTGAACAATTGTCAAATAAGTTTAACACGCAAGAACAAACTACAAAGTTGTCTATTTGAAATGATGGTGATCTGTGTAATATATGAAACTATAAGGAGTGTATACAATAAGCTGAAACTTTACAGGAGGTATGTGTCATTTTTCTTTAAATGAACTGGAGAGAAAAATGAAAAAAATATCAACGGTTCAATCAACAGACCAAGCTCATTGCTATTCGTCTTCTACCTCTCTCTCATGGCGCTCCAGCTTGCTATCACTATCTCAAGCTTCAACCATCTTCCACGAAGAATTCAGGGCAAGTAATTCCTCTTCGAACCTTGCCTGCAATCTTATATATCTTTAATTTTCTTATTCTTCTCTTTTTTTTTTAAATAAATTTTTTAATCTGATTACTCTTGAGGTCAATAGCTCGGCCAATTCAGTTGGAGTATTTTTTTTTTTTTTTTGGTTTAATTTTTTTTTTTTTTTTTGGTATAATTTTTGAATTCTAGTGCTTCGTTAGAAGTTGTGACACATGTCTTTTGGTCCTATTCGATATAGTGTCTGCCTTTTAATTGTTTACTATATTAAAACTCCTATTAATTCATGTGATTTCTGTATTTGATTGTTATCTATAACCGCGGAATTCTACTTTTCGCTGTTCGTTCTTCTAGGTGCGCACTGCAATGTGGTGCAAAGGAAACTGCAAAGTACTCCATTGTCAAAACCGAAGGATCTCTGTGAAGATGTTTTTTCTTTGTCAAAGGCTTGCACCAGTGTTCCAATTAGATGCACAATGTTCACAAGTGCTGTCTTAGGTAATCTCTTTAGACAATCTCGGTAATCATGAAAAGTTTTTACTAGGGAGAGGTATATTGTTTTAGCATTCTAGTTCAATTGCCAGAGAAAATCATATATATGCTGTTGATGTGCTCAGCAGGAGTAACATGTCCAGTTGTTCACAATTTGAGACTTGACTGGCGGAGCCAGGAATTTATACAAGGAGATTAAAAAATGTCAGACCTAGGATTTGAACCCCGTTGCCACTTTATTAGAACTTTTGCTTGACATAAGGGGATTCAACAGCTTATTTATAACCAAAACCTAGTTTCGCCCTATTTGCACAGTATAAATTTTCGACGATGGGGAATCAATTGAACTCCCTTCATTCAAGCAAGCTCCGCCTTTGACTACAAAGAGCAACCAAAGATAGAAGCTATATACACAGAAAAAATATTACTCTAAAATATGCCTTACTAAAACGAGCAACCAATCATTTCTTCAAGCGGACTGGTATATGTGCTCCAAAACGTAAAACATAAGCTTAAAAGATTGTCTTGACAAGACTTCTTCATCCCCTAGAAGCCCTGCATTTCCTTTCCTTCTAAATTTTCCACTAACTGCTAAGGGAGCAAACCATGCCATATTGCTCAATGCCCCACTGCACGTTTTCTCTCACTAAACCATAACATGGTAACAAAGGCAATTCCTTTTGAAGGGGAATCATGATCCGTTCAATCCAAAACATGTTCTAAACTGCTTTGACAATGGAGTAAGTAATAAATGACTGACCAAGTCAAAGATTGTAGCCTAAAATTACTCTTATACAAGATTGTAGCCTAAAAGAAGAAATACTTCATGGTCATTTATTATTAATGTTATCTTGTTGCAAAGCATGAAGTAATTATGAAAATATGCACACATTAATTATTTCTGTCTTCACATTTTAGCAGCAAATTTGGTTGCAACACATGCTGCAGATGCTGTGACCATGGAAAACATGATGGTGAGGATTCTTCCTTGTCAACCTTAAGTGTCCTACTTTGTTACTTGGTGCCTGTTGTCTCTTCTAGCCAGGGGGAAGAGGGTGCTTTGTTTTCTGTTGCATATATCCCTGGGCTACTGGGCTCTGTAAAACCATCATAGCACATGATAACATAAGATGACCTATCCAACATCTGTTTGATCCATGTTACCTTTTCTTTCTTCTTTTCTGTTCCCACGAGCCTCAAATTTACGTTCCATGTACTAATTACGTGGATGTGTGTCTTTTTTTCTGACCTATTGATTCTTTTCTTAGTACTCTGTTCTGTTTACTTGTTCTTTATGAAAAAAATAACAGTGACAGAAATAACATCAACAATTTAGAGTAAAGTAGTTCATAGAAGACTTTTTCCTGAGAAGCTAAATTTGTTGTACTTTCTGCAGCAGTTTGAATGTCTATTTTCTGGCTTAATGGGAGATTTGTACTTAACAATCTTTATGGTGATGACATGTGGAAATTTTAATCTTTTATATACCAGTGTTAATGATGACACATTAATTAGATGCCTGATTACATAAGATATGAGACCCTTGTTCAAACCTCAACAATTTGAGGGAACTGATGAACTATATAAGCTTTGGACTGCAGCTTGACCCGCTGATCGAGCTAAATGAATAAAGCCACTTGTTCTCTGTACTGTGGGCCCAATTGAGTTGTATCTTTTTTATGCGTAGTTGCATTTGCTGGACATTTTTCTGTGGTTCTTTGCAATATAAGTTGGTATTCATTAGCTAGTGGAATGTATTGTCACATAACACACCAGTAAATCTTCACTGGATTGTATGCTAAGGGGACTGTCATTTCTTCATTGGCTTCAGGATTTTTCTAGTGCTGTCTATACTTTAGCTGATGGAAGCGTTGGAGATATTTTTGGTGGCCTTCTGTATTCTGCTGGTCAACAAGCTAATGAAGCTGTTCAGGGCCAGTTGACTGCTCTTAGTTTCACCAGGTCTAAATCTTGTATCATTTAAATTGTGTCTGGTACTGATAGAATGTATTTACAAAGGTTTTGTACTTCTGATTCTTAGACTTTTCTCTTTGCAGTGTGGCCACTATTTTTGGTGCAGGGCTTGTAACTAGTCTTTCACCTTGTACACTCAGTGTGCTGCCTCTCACCCTTGGTTATATTGGTAGGACTTGGAAGTTGAATCTTTGCTCTCTAAATATGAATCATAAGGTCTCTCCTCTCTGATACTATTTACGTTCTTTGAAAATGGTCTAGGGGCTTTTGGCTCTGGGAAAAGCAGAGTAGCGGTAAGAACCTTAATTTTATATTTAACTTTTTACTGTTTGTTCTTTGTCCTTTCCACTTTTGATGTGAATTATTTGCAATGACGGAACATAAATTACATACCGTATAGAAAATATTTTCCAGCTTTACATGTAAATCCTTTAAGGGGTGAATGTTATTTGGCTTATATGTCTTGAGACGGCATGTGTATGATTTTCTCTATGATAATCTTCTGTCTCAATTTCCACTTTGGGACGTATAGAAAAAGTTCGATTAACTAATCAAATTTAACATTATTTTTATTTGCTTAGTTTTTGGTGTAACATGGCTACTGTAAATTTCATGGACTCTGATGCCATGGTTGACTTCCTTAGCTCAGTACAGAACTTAGTAATGGCACGTTACTTTTGGTTGTAACTCTCTCACATCATTTGCTTTTTGCTGGTTGTCATCCATAAAAGTTACACTTTACTGATAAAAAGTCATAAAATTATTGATCAAGTTTGAACTTCGACGTGACGTTTCTCCATCAAACTAAGTTTTCAATCTACTAGAAATCAAACTAATAACTTAATTCTTATACTTCATATCCAACCAAAAGGTGCGATATTTAATGTGAAAGGAGTACTAGAAAGTAGAGATTGCAGTTTCTATGAACAGAGCTTTGCAGGGTTCTGCATTTTCCACCTGACAACCTACTAGGGCATAGTGCTAGTTCAAATTCATTGTTTTCACTTGGGCTATCCTCTTGGACAGGTTGTTGGGGATTCAATTGCATTTGCCCTGGGATTGGCAACCACGCTAGCACTGCTGGGCATTGCAGCTGCATTTGCTGGAAAGGCATATGGGCAAATAGGACAAGGGCTGCCTGTGGCTGCTTCTTTTTTAGCTATTGTTATGGGTTTAAACCTGTTAGAGGTAACTACATATGTTGAATGTTTAAATAGTGTGGTAATATCTTTTTATTTTAAGTATCAGTTGAGTATTATTGTTTTTAATCTTTATTGAAACCATGGTTGCATTTGTGTTTTGCCTGATCTTCAGAGCTTTGTCCTATTAAGGTATTATGGCTTATTTGTTTATATATTAATAATTTTTGCTTGCATAAATAAGTATCAGTTAAAAAAAAGTTGATGTTCTTATGCTATACCAGATGTTCCCACATCACCTTTATTTGTAATGAGAACTTGTGTAGGAAAAGACTGTGATATGTGTTGGCGTTTGAATAAAATAATGACTGACAGTTTTGGTACCTGGGTAGTAAAAATTGTGGGTAAAGCCATCAGATCCAAGTACAATTGTGTTTTTGGATTTAGCCAAAATTATGCTTTTACTGTTTAGAGGTTTCTTAGACTCAAAACATGCAAATATAAGTACAAGTCATATTAATGATTGGTTTGGAATTAGTCCTAGTCTTGAGACTATCTTTCTGACCCTTATGACGTATATGTTCCTACTGAAGTTCATAATTAAGTTTCGTACCAGCAATTAACATGTTCCATACACCATACTCTTCCCTCCATAATGAAAAGGGCAAGTCAATTCGCTAGAATTTGGGGGAGCTTTATATTTGCATGTTTTATGTTTTAACTTTTAACTAGTAGCAATAACTGAATGAATATATCATCGAGCTTTATGAAAACTATTGCAAATATAAACGGTACAAAAGAAGCATTATTTGCTAGTTTTCAGTTTGCGTTTTTGGTTCCGTGCTTATATGCATTTACTTATAGTCTTCCTTCAATAACAATGCTGCAGGTAATAGAGTTACAACTTCCCTCATTTTTCGACAACTTTGATCCTCGATCAGCAGCGGCTAGCTTTCCTTCAAGTAATGGGCTATAACTTTTACCCTTCATTCTTGTTGGGACATAATCTCAGTTAGTTTGGGTATGGGAATGCTTGCAGTAAGCTGGATATTATAGTTTGACATTTTATATATTTGATTGTCTAGGTGTTCAAGCTTATTTGGCTGGTCTTACATTTGCCTTAGCTGCATCACCATGCAGTACACCAGTACTAGCAACCTTGCTCGGCTATGTAGCTACTTCTCGGGTACTACAAATTTTGACATTTTGGTTCTCAGGATGACGAAATGATGGTTATCTTATGTTTGCTTCTTTTCTTTCTTTGGCCTTCCAAAAAAAAAAGTGACACAAAAAGCACAAGCATATGACACCATCTTGGTCATTTTGCTTAATCTTTGAGAGAATTAGAGTTATGTCATCAGGATTTCTTTCATATAGAAGTATTTTATAATGCATGCCTTGAATCAAATACTTCAGCACCTGGCATTGACCATTAGAATTGCACACTGTCTTTGCATGTTATTTATTTTGGTTATTAGGTTGAATATAACTAGCTTCTTAATAATCTTCTATAACAGGATCCAATTATTGGGGGCAGCTTGCTATTGACATACACAACTGGCTATGTTACTCCCTTACTACTTGCTGCCTCTTTTGCTGGAGCATTGCAGGTAATCCATATGGTTCAAATAATTGTTATTGTGGCCAGCATCTTTTAGATGGTCCAAGGACCTCATGTTGCTACATCCACATTATGGAGCTCTGCATCTGAGGGCATTGTTTTAAGAATTCTTTCTCCACTTCAACGCCACTCATCCTGCTTCCTTGTCTTCTGTCATGTTTATTAAGATTAGTCTTGCCTGCTTGAGTTGCTGCTTGCATACATTCATTATAATCTTTTTTCACCATTTAAGTACTGACCAACTGCATGTCATTTGCAGAGTATACTTTCATTCCGCAAGTTCTCAGCATGGATCAATCCAGTCAGGTAAATTGTCTGTGAAATTAATGGCACAATTAGTCAGAGAGAGCTTAAATTTCTTCTACTTTAGTCACTTCCTCTCTAATACCATCTTAATCACATTCTTCAAGTACTCAGCCAGATATTTGCCTTTTGCAGTGGTGCGCTACTATTAGGTGGGGGTGTCTATACCTTTCTCGACAAGCTTTTTCCAGTGACAATGGCTATGTAGGCTAATCAGCTATTCAAATAGCAACAGCTGGAATGGGGATGAGCTTTACCTGCTTCTTCTTACTGTTTGAGTTGCTTATGCTCAGGCAAAGCATCATTGAGTTACATAGAGCAAAGTTTCAAATGAATGAGCAAGCAAAGGTACGATGTATATGTGGGATCTGTAACTTTAACTCCTACAACAAGTTGTAGAAGGTAGAAAATGTTGATTGATACGTATTGGATGCACTTCAGTTAGAATTAAGGAACAATAGGATCATATATGTATGAGAACGTATAGCTTTTGTGTAAAGATAATGTTGTATGATCAATAGAACCTTTATTTCAATGCATGGATGGCTTCTGATAAGGTGTCTCCTTTACAATTATGCATGAATTTTGGAATGAAATGCCATGCGACACAACATGGTGAGTGTAGAGCGCTCAACTTCAAACCAAGAGTTCGAGCCACCAAGGGAACAAGTGGAGAAAATCATTGTTGACAAAAGGGGCGATTGGTGGGATTTACCCAAAAGTTTAGAAGTTACTATCATTTCAGGCAGTTTGAAAGTACTTCATTTTTCTAATATAAATAAGAGAGAATTTTGACAAAATAGTTATAGCTCATCTTACCCCCATCCTCTGAAGTTGTGAATTACTGAGCAGTTACCTATCTCTTCAATTTCATAACCAACTTCTATTGAAGAATTTTACATGAGTATGACAAAAAGCATTCATAAAAGAGTAGTACCTTTTCTTTCTTGTTCTTTATCTGGTTGGGAATTTATTTATTTTAACTATAAAGATATACTAAGGAAATCAACATTCCTTTTGCACTGTAGGTGTTATCAATTTATTATTATGTTAAGTATATGGCATGACATGTGCGCAAACAGCTAACTTTGGTAGCCAAAAATAATAGAAGTCAAAAAAACAAATAAATTAAAAAGAAAAAAAAAGTATATATTAAAAGTATCCACCGGCATGGCTGCATAACAAGAATGGCTTTGAATGCAAATACTTTAATGAAGAATGGGGCTTCTGCAAATCTTATGAACTAACAGTATCGCTGCATCTACTTTGGTTCAGTTCTCATTTTTTTCTGAAGTAGTTGAAAGCTACATGACGGTAAAACTCATTATTTGCTATGCTTGAAAGCTTTTTCTCTCATTTGTTTAATTTTTTACTTTGTAAACTCTGAGAGTCTAATATAAATGCTACATGGATAATGTAATTGTTATTGGACATTCATCATTATACAATTCTACAGTAAAATCTTCTCATTTGTTCAAATGACATTCAAATTTGGACAGTCCAATGGAGGATGACTTAGTTATATTGTTGGAGGAAAATGACTTAAATCACAATATTGTCGGAACTTGGAAGATCAATTTGGAGAGTGGAATCTGAGCTAATTTCTAAACAATTCTTTATTAATCAGGTAAGGAAAAAATATTGTGTATTACTACTAAATACTAGTAATATATGGAGGCTCAAGTGACAAACTAACAGCTACTGAAGGTTTTCAGAGTCAACTCTCCTCCAATTTTTTCTCTCTCTCATCCTTCACAGAGGACTTTGGCAAGTTGACGACTCCATTAGCCAAACAAAATGCTCCCTTTACTCCAAAACTTTTGTTCGTTCTCTTTCTATGATTGTTATCTCACAATCACTATATTTTAAAATGATGGTAACTTTCTAGTTCTTGATAATCAAATTAGTAAGAACCGATAAACAATTTGAGCAGACAAAGTGTCGATTTTATAAAAAGAAAAATCGTTTAAAATATCACGTTCGGAATGGGGCAAACTAGTATTCCCCTTCTCACCTTGGCCCTGTAGCTAATCTCATTACTGAATTTGAGCCTTTCACTTGCGATAAAACACTGATGGCCTCAATTAATCAATTATTTTCCGAAATGACAAACCATGCGTTTATTTTGCATTTTCATCATCCTTATCAATTTTCCAAATAGCTCATATACTCTTTTAGCAGTCACTACATAATCATGTGATGCTTTCATTCATGGCATGAAAAACAAAGTGTTATGGGAGGGGATTCTCCTTTCTTAAATTTAAATTTAATAGATCTCAAATTTCTGTCATGCCATACACTATTTATTTACTGTTACGCAGAATCGCGCTAACTTAGCTTCTTAAATGAAGCAAAGGACAGAAATCCCAAGTAGTTCTTGCTTATTTGTTTTTTCGTTTTCACCAATTTTTTTCCCACTAATTTGCTTAATGCACTCTGCACAGACCATAGTGAACAAGCTTAGGACAGGAAAGTTTATGTCCCAGAAAAGAGTAAGGTAAACTGCAAAATGGGAGAAGACAAACTAATTCATTCGTGACGCTACACGTTTTAATTCTTTTAAGAGAAAATTTTATACGATCATATGTCAAAGCCATCAAATTCCATAATGTCCAAATGAAATAAAAGATTACTTTTCGCTATTGCCATTAAACATGGGGAAAGAGAGAGTTTCTCTCCGTTTATGTGCAAAAAAACAGCATCTGAAATAGCTAATGAGCACCTCGATTGATCATCTCTGTGTACTGTTGCAACGACTGCTGCCTCTGCAACCTCATATCCTCATTAAACTTCTTAATGAAAGCTTCAACTCGCCTGTTGAGCTCGTCCTGACTCAGCGACGGCTCTTTCTTAAGTTTGCCCGAACCAGGTGACGGAGTCAGCAGCGGCGAGTTGGGGGTGTTATGGTCATTGAAAGTCTCGGATTTCTTCATCTTCTGCTGTGGTGGGGTTAGAGCCGGGTTGTTGCGACCACCGTGTGTCTCCCACGTGTCAGATTTCCTCAAGTGCCTCGTCAACGGCATTGCTCGCCCTTCTGTTATTGTCTTCCACGTACTCTCCAGCGTGTCCTGCCGTTTAGGCTTTGATACTTTCAGTGTCTTCTTTCCACCTGTATTTACCCAAATATCCAATCATATTCGATATTTATTTTTTTTTAGTCGGTATACATATATTATATATAAATTATATACAGATATACATATATTATATATAAATTATATATATAAGATTAGACGTGCGGCTATTTGACTTAAAAACTAATTTACTATCACATATTAGATTATATTATACTAATAACATATTATTAATGCATTTAAATCCATTTATTTTTAACGACGAATAAAGCATTGGTTATGGATGATAAAGCACAAAAATGGATATACATGACTATTTTTGGGCTTATCGTATGGAAGAGTGAGCCGTGAGGTGGCGGAATCAGTATTGAGCTTTGCGATTTTTAAGTCATGTGTTTGTCGTTTTCCTTTAGTTTCCACCG